GATTACAAATGTGTGCCACCATACCCAGCCATAATTTATTTTTTTGTGTATGATGTGACATAGGGATGACTCTTCCCCCATACTGTAAAACTCATCCTTGTGCTCATATGTTAAGTAACTAAGTTGTATTCATCTAATACAACTTGCAGTGGTGATAGGAAGTCTGTTGTTCAGCTTCATCTATGTGTTGACAAATATAGTTAACTGGTCTAATTTTTAAATTCTATTTTGTTCCTACTTGCAGAAGAGTGCTAACAGTTCTAATAAATACTGGCTTTCAGGCTCTATAATGTGTCCTTGTATCCTCTAATATGTCTGGAATTTGTGTAGGCTGTGCTGGGGTAGGGAAAGGGACTTTCTTTGTCGCACAAACAAGGACAAAGTTTTTTCCTGTCTCTTCGATTACCAATGCCTCATCAGAAGCTTTCAGCATTTATGTAAGAAATTTATTTATTTTTCTAGAATTTGAGCAAACTTTAAAACTTTGTTTTAAAATATTGCAGAGTAGGAAGTTGCTTTTGCTTAAACATAGTATTTTTCCATTAGTTCTAGGACTTTAAGTTATTTAGCATGTTCCTTTATATTCTTAGCTTTGTATTTGGTATTATATATTTTTTGAAAGGTATTAGTGGACTATGTGATATGGGAATACCTTAAAAAAAAAGTTATAACTGTCTTCTATCTCTTATCTGCTATTTAGGGTTTGTATGTACCTAGATGTTCCCCAAAGCCTCAAGCAGTCATAGGTGGGGATTTTGGAGGTGGCTGTATCTAGAGTGTGTGGATGCTGGGATCAAGGGTGTGTGATTGCTAAATTAGGCCACTGATTGGTTTGGCACAGTTCTGGGTGGATAAAATATAAGGGTCAAAAAGAGGGCCGTTTCTTGTCGCTTGCTGCTTGTTGCTTGGATGCTTTTGCTGCCTTCTGCCTGCCACAAACTGTTTCTTCTCTGTGATGCTTGTGTGCCATGCCACCCTGCCCTGGAGCCAGCCAATTATGAACTGAAACCTCTACAAACTGTGAGCTAAATAAACCTTTCCTCCTTTAATCTTGGATGTTGGGTATTGTGTGTCAACAATGAGAAAAGTAAAAGACAGATACTGTCTTACCAGATGCTCCACTCAGAAAAAAATGAGGAAGAGGTTAAAAAAAAGAGCTAGTTTAAAAAAAAATTAAAGCATAGCGTAGTAAGAGTAAATGAACATAGGACGGAGAAGGGAAGCAGGGGGTAAAGAAAAGAAGAGATTGTTTTTTTTTTATTTTAAAGAGAATAATAAAAAATAACATAGACAAAAACAAAACAAAGCAAAAACAATAAAAATGATACAGTGTTTCAAAACAGAATAATGGGCATTAACAGTGGTTGTTATATTACATACTGTTATCTTCAATGAAGTTGCTCGGATTACCAGATGTAGCATGCAAGATTGATCAAACCATTAAAGAGAATAAAAGATAATATAAAAAACATTAGAAATGATACAGAGCTTCACTAAACAAGATGGTAGGAATTCACCAATTGTTATACTGCATATTGTTGTATTCAAATTAGTTGTTCAGATTACCAGATATAAGCATGCAAAATTGGTCAAAAAAATTTAAACATGAACTGTTCCTTTCAATAAACCATTAGACATCAGCAGTACAATTATCCCAGCTTTATGTGTTAGTACTTCGAAGATTATTTTTTTCTTGAGTTCCTAATAAAAAGGTAGTGGCAACTTCAAATCTGTTTCTTTGTACCTGCACAGGCTGTTTAGGAGAGGCAGTTTTCTGCTGAGAAACAATATAGCTGGTGGTTTTGTGCTTTTAGCTCCTTTTTCATTGGTGTATTTGATCCAGTTTAGTGCTACCAGGATTAGCTGTGATACAAGTTTTAGAATCTTAACTGAGTCATGCTCTGGACATTGTTCTACTTCAGGAATATAATGGATGTTGTTCATATGCATTTGTATGTTAGAACTAATTTGATTTGAAATTAGTTATTCAGAATTAAATGGGATGTACAGCTGGGCATGGTGGTACATGCTTGTATCCTAGCACTTGTGGGGGTGACCCAGGAGGATTGCCATGAGTTTGAGGCCAACCTGCGATCCATAGTGAGTCCAAGGCAAGCCTGGACTGCATAGCAGTCCCTGTCTCACAAACAAACAAACAAACAAGCAATTAAATGGGTTGTAAATTGCATAAGATGATTAGTTTAGACTTGATAAATTATGATTCTTCTTGGTGCTAACACATTTCATGGTTTTCTAGACTTTTCAGTAACTTCACGTTGGCAGTGATTATAAATAGTAATTTTGTATGGACTCTTGTTTCTTGCCTGAAATAGACATTTAAAAAGAGGCTTTTTAGGCATGATAGTGGCACACTCCCTGTGATCCCAGCTACTCAGGAGATTGAGGCATGGAGCAGTGTAAATTGGAGGACAGCCTGGGCTATGTAGTGAGATTTTGTCCAAAAGTAAAAAATACAAAAAGTGCTAGGGATGTAGCTCAGTGATAAGGTACTTGTCCAGAACTCAGGAAGTCCTGGGCTCAATCCAGCAGTGGGAGGGGAATGCTTTTTTTTGGTACCGGGAATTGAACTCAGGACCTTGCACTTGCCAAGCAGGTGCTTGTGCCACTGAGCTATATCCCTGGCCCAAAAGCTTGTTTGTTTGTCTTTTTTTTTGGCACCAGGAATCGAACTCAGGATCTTGTGCTTGCCAGGAAGGCACTTATGCTGCTGAGCTATATCCCTGTTTGTCTTTTTGAGACAAGGTCTCACTATGCAGTTCAGGCTGACCTTGAGCTCACTTTGTAGCCTACTTAGGCTGGTCTGGAACTCACAATGATCCTCTTGCCTCAGCCTCCTGAGTGCTGGGATTAAGGCATGCGCCACCACACCTGGCTGGGAGGAGAATCTTGTCAAAGTTTAAATGCCTTCTGATATAACTGGCTTATATTATAATCATTGGCATCTTTAAGCTTATGCAGGAAAATAACCAATCCTCATGTGTAAAAAGGTAGAGGAGATAAGCATTCTAAGTCCTCTCAAGTGACTTTTTGGTCATATATTCATAATTTTATATTTTTATATGATTTCTCATAGTGTATTATCATTTTAGAGAAAAAAGGAATCTTGTAGTCACCAACTGAAAATTTAGGCTACTGATTAAAAATAATTTTTCAAGGGAGTAGAGATGAACTTTACAGTTTAATTATACCTTATTTTCATTATACTATTATTAAAAATTATCCATATAGTGTTGGCAAAATTTTTTATTGGTCTGTTATATTTAATATTTAAGATGTGTCATTTTCCCTGGAATAGTGCTTTGGTGTGCTTAGCAGTGGTGGACAACTTTTGTGATTGTTGTGATTGTTTTTATTGGGGAAATGTGTGTATGAGTCAGGCAAATTTAACTTTGCCTGACTGAGATATGATAATTTGTCCTTCCTGGCTTGTGTTATATTAATTCCTCGGTCATATAGCAGATGATTGCTTCTATAGGAGTATAATAAAGGTTGTTATTATTTATATAATAAGGGTCACAAGAAGCCATTAGAGTTAATTGGTGATGGGTACAATGATGTGTCTACTATAAGAGATGGAACAACACAGTTCTTAAATGTAACAAACACTAAAAGTAAAAAGGGGTATAAGTAGTTATAGGGAAACAAAAAACAGGGAGATGAATGTTTCTTGAGAGTCAAAAAATTTTGCCAAGAGTATAGTCAAATGGAATATAGGAGCAGAAAACTGGCTAAGATTAGGGGACCTAGAGAGAAGTAACTGAGCAAAGGTTGGTCTTCAATGACAGGTGGGTCAGAGGTGTCTAGAATTGAAAGATTTTTAAACATAAAACTGGGCTGGATGTGTATATATAGCTCAAGGCCTACCATGTGCTAGGCCCTGGATTTGATCCCTAGCACTGCAAAATAAATAACATCTATTTATAGACCGGGACAAGGCTGAATTGAGAATCTTTTATGTACCTGTGTATTTCCTCTGTTCTGTGAAAGCTTTCTGGTGATGAGGAACAGAATTCAAAGGCAGCTGGGTCAACTACAGGAAGCTGATTATAAGGAAAGCTCTGCCTGTGTGGGCTCAGGAACCAAAACCATCTATAGGGCAGAGAAACATGTATCAAAATGATACCCCCCCAAAATCTTCTGGTTCATTTTTTTCAGTGATGCCATCTGCAGTTTTGTCATCTGCAATGATTCTTCCCTTCGAGGTCAGCCTGTTATCTTCAATCCTGACTTCTTTGTGGAAAAACTCCGACACGAGAAACCTGAGGTGTTCACTGAGTTGGTGGTCAGCAACATCACAAGGCTTATCGATTTACCTGGAACTGAGCTGGCTCAGCTGATGGGAGAAGTGGACCTCAAATTGCCTGGTGGGGCTGGCCCAGCATCAGGATTCTTCCGGTCTCTAATGTCTCTCAAGCGGAAGGGTAGGAAACGTGTCTATGAAGGGTGGCCAAGTCTCAGCTGCTCTCTGCACCTCTGGACTTTGTTCTTTTTTTTTTTGGAGACAGGGTCTCACTATGTGGTTCAAGATAACCTTGAGTTTACTAGTAGTTCACTAGTAGTTTACTAGTAGTTCAGGCTGACTTTGAATTTGCAGCGATCGATCCTCCTGCCTCAGCCTCCTGAGCATTGGGATTATAGGTGTTTTTGTGCCACCACACCTGGATTTGACTTTGTTCACCTGCATATTCATTGAGGAGTTGTGATTTTTTTTTTTTGGCACAGGAAGTGAACTCAGAACCTCACGCTTGCCAGGCAGGCACTGTGCCACTGAGCTATATCCCCGGCCCAGGAGTTATGATTATCCTCTCTCATTTTCCTTTTTTTGAGGCAGGGTCTTGCTATGTAGTTCAGCCAAGCCTTGAACCCACTTTGTAGTCCAGGCTGGCCTCAAATTCATGACAATCCTCCTGCCTCAGCCTCTGGAGTGTGTGATTATAGGTGTGTGCCACCATGCCCAGCTTTATTTTAATTTTACTTATTTTTTTGAGACAAGGTCTCACTATGTAATTCAGGCTGGCCTTTAACTCATTATGTAGCCCAGGCTAGACTCAGACTCATATGCTGTCCTGCCTAGTCTCCCAAGTGCTCGGATTACAGGCATACGCCACTACACCCAGCTATTTTTCTCATTTTCATAAGGAATAGAACCTTAAATACTAGTAATAAATTATAAAACTATTAAGATAAAAAATAATTAAACTAAAGTAAATGAATGCAGTGCCTAATAGATAACATGTTTGTTTAGGTGGCTATCAGGGGCATCTTAATTTTCATGCCCTATTAATACTTTACTAAAATGATATTTAATTTTCAATTTAGTTTTTTTTTTTAAGTGGTGTCTTGCTATATTGCCCAGGCTGGCCTTGAATTCCTAGGTTCCTAAGTAGCTAAGACTATACATGAGTGTCTCTGTATTAAACTAATTAAACTAGGTTTTTTTTTTTTTTTTTTTTTTTAATCCAAAGTGGCATAGCTGGAGAGCACACAAAGAAAACCTGAACTTTTTTTATTGTAGTAGTTCTCAAATGTTTTCATTCCTGGGAATGCTTTCCTAAGGCTGGTACTTACAACTCCCCAGGAAAGGCCTCCCCAGGAAATAAAGAAATTGGAGCACTACTTTTGATAACATATGGAGGAAGTCTTGTTTTATTAAGTATAGAAAACCCGTTCAGGGGGCTGGGGATTTAGCTCAGCGGCAAAAGCACCTGCCTGGCAAGCGCAAAGTCGTGAGTTCCATTCCCGGTACCGGAGAAAAACCCAAAAAAAAAAAAAAAAAAAAGAAAACCCATTCAGCTAGAAAAAATGTTTATGCATTAACAAATGATCCTGTGCCAGCTCCGGTGGATGATATGTCATGCTTTGACAGTCGTGAGTTCTTTTTGTTTTAAAATTAATTTTAACATCAATGTGATAGATATTATTACTTAAATAAGAAAGCAGTCTTGCTCTTGAAGGAACTTACAATCTAATATTGAACTTGGAGCTGATTTGATAGTTGTTCTGATTGTATTTTCTGGTGTACTTCGAATGCCAAGGTTTTTATTTACTCATCCTGTGAAAACATTTGCTAAACTATAATGCTGGGGTAGGTTTTTTTTTTTTTTTTTTTTTTTTTTTTGAGACAGGGTTTTGCTATGCAGTTCAGATTCGCTTTGAACTCACTTTGTAGCCTTGAACTGGAAGCAGTCTTCCTGCCTCAGCCTCCTTAGGATTACAGACATGTGCTACCATGCCTTGCTGGGGTGGTCTTCAATAGGATGAATTTGTACTATTTGTGTGAATACAGTTTTGTTCTATTATGTGGTTTTCAGAAAAAGGAGTAGTATTTGGATCCCCATTGACAGAGGAAGGCATTGCCCAGATATACCAACTGATTGAATATCTGCACAAAAGTAAGACTACTTGAAGTTTTATTGTTCTTTGTTTAATGAGAGCTAACTGCCTTGGATTAGTAGGTGCCAGTTAACCATCACCAAAAAACTAACCAGTGATATTTCTGGGATAGATTTTAAAATATATGTCCTTTTAAATTTCATCTTGTATACTTATATGTCCTATACTCTCAAAGATGTGTGTAAATTAACATCTATGAAATTACATTTATCCCCCTGGGAAAAATTTGTTGTCACTAAATAACTATGACATTTAAATAAGGGAGCATGCTATTTTTTTTTTTTTTTTTTTTGCTACCGGGAATTGAACTCAGGACCTTGCACTTGCACTGCTGAGCTATATCCCCGGCCTGAGCATGCTATAATGTCTAGAATTCTGTGATTTACATGTACTTTTCACTTAATTTCCATTATGTTTTTTAGTTGTCTTGCTGGTCATGTCATTGCTTTAAGTACTTGACACAGCTGAGTATATATGAAATATGATGACCTTGATATATAAGGCCTTATATGATGCCTTGATAAATTCAGCTCAAACATTTATGCCTTATTCAGTATGGATCGCTGTGCTAGGAACTAGAGCAGAGGTTGCAAACTGGCAGCTTAGGGGTCTGAGTCATCTGCACTTACGTTTTGTTTGTTGGCAAAGGATTACATTAAAAATAAAATTAGTTATCCGTGTTTTAAAATGAGAAGAGTCCAGGTTTTCAGCTTCTTTGGGTGATAGGAAAATCTAGCTTCTTGGGTCCAGTTTCCACTTGGACATAATCAGCGAGAGCATGGGGAAGTATTCTCCAGTTTGTTATGGTTCCCATTCATTCCTTTACTGTTAACCTGCCTGGCCCTGTAGGCATGTGAACTTGGACCCCTGAAGAAGACAAAGATGAAAACATGGACATGCTTCTTCTGGATCAAATCAAATGTTATGTTTTACTTTTTTAAAAAAAACCTCCCTAGATAAACTTAGAACCTAGTTGGAAGAGCCAAATAGTTTGTTTGGGATGACACTAAGCTTCTGGGAATCTCTTAGACTGAAAGGTGATCTGACCGAGTTCTAATTCCTGGAACAGTGCAGAGACTCTAGATTTATTTAGGGTGGGGAAATAATACCTCCCAGATGAACACAGGCCTTCCAAACAAATCTGGGATATAGAGGGAAGGGGTCTTACGGTTAAATTCAGTCTCCAGATGTACCTCAGACAGGTGAATGACTTGTGGGAGGTCCATCTTTCAGTGTGGGTGAACTCAGGTGCTCAGGGAAGTTCAGATATATGTTTTCAATGGAATAGTAGGTTCTAAACTCCTCTGAAAGAAAAGGCTAAAGTCTTAAAAGGCTTTTTAAAGGGTCTTTTAAGTGAAAAGTAATATATATATATATATTAATCTTTTTATTGTATGTTAATCTTTTATTAATATGTATTAATCTTTATATTAATCTTTTTGCTTCCTGTTTGCCTGTCCTCTTGTTTTCTTCCATGCTAAGCAGACTTGCGAGTAGAGGGTTTGTTTAGAGTTCCAGGCAATAGTGTCCGACAGCAGATTTTAAGGGATGCTCTCAATAATGGAACTGATATTGACTTGGAATCAGGGGAGTTTCATTCAAATGATGTTGCTACTTTGCTGAAGATGTTTCTAGGAGAGTTACCGGAGCCCCTGCTGACACATAAACATTTCCATGCGCACCTCAAAATTGCTGGTGAGTATAGAAAGTGAGAAAGAATGTAAATATATTTCTTTCAATTTATGAAGTCCTTTGGGATTTTATGTTCTTATAAACCACAGCAGTTTCTGGTATTGATTAAGACTTCATAATATTGTTGGGTGCCTCTAGGTACATAGACCCATTTTAGCCAGTTAGGTTTGATGTAATCATTTTTTTTTTTTTTTTGTACTGGGACTTGAACTCAGGACCTTGTGCTTGCCAGGCAGGCACTTGTGCTGCTGAAGTATATCCCTGGCCAATGTTTTTTTTTTTTTTTTTAAATAAATAAGCTTTTTATTAAGACAAAGTTTTGACAGGTCTGGGTTTTATTTATTTCTGTATCCTTGATGGAGCTTAGCATAGTGCTTTGAAGATTTTAGTTGCTCAATAAATGTTTGCTTTTCATTGGATTGAATGGATTTATTGTATTCACATACCTTAGATGGTTACAGATTTGGTATATTTGCCTTGGTTTGGGTCTTTTGCTAAACATTTCTATGCTTCATTTGGGACTATCTCTACACTTGGAAATTTGTTTTTTGAAAATAATTTTATAAACTGGGCATGGTAGCACTTGTAATCCCAGTACTTTGGGAAGCTGATGCAGGGAGATCCAAAGTTCTAGCTCAGCATGGGCAATTTAGTGACTTAGTGAGACTGTCTCAAAATAAAACTAGAGCTAGGGATGTAGTTCAATGCAGAGACCCTGGTTTCACACCTAATTACTCCCTGCTCCTATTATTTGTTTTCTGAATAAGCAGTACATTCACATAGGTCAGAATTCAAAAGGTTCAGAAATGATACAGTGAGAAACTTCTCTTCCATTCCTGTTCCCTAGTTCCTCCCTGAGACAACCAGTGCTGTTGATTTGTAATGCAACCTCCCAGAGTCTTAGTTACTTTCTAATTGCTGAGACACAGTGCCTGACACCCATAACTTAAAGGAGGAAAAGTTTATCTTGTCTCACAGCTTGTAGAAGTTTTAGTCCATAGCCAGCTTCAAGGTAGGTGGCATGGCAGAGGGGAAACAGCTCATGACTTGGCAGCAGGAAGCAGAGAGACATCAAGGGAAGGGTGAGGGAGCTAGATCCTGGCCACACTCCCAGTGATTCACCTCTTCTGACCAGATTCCACCTCCCAACAGCAAGCTGGCTGTAAGCCCCCATGATCCAGTCATTCTCCACAGGAGGCTTTGGATGACATTTTAGATATAAATCATAACAGTGGTTTTTTAAAAAAATATTTTTAGAAATACATACACTCCTTTCCCCCTCTTTTTATGTAATGATAGATATATATACGTGGTACTGTGGTTTGCTTTTTTCACTTAATATATCTTGGACAATATCCTGTTTTAAGCTCATAGTTTTTTTCAGCCTTTATGGTAGGGAATTCATTCTTAAGTTGCACAGCTGTTATCCTGCCAGAGGCTCTAACAGAATCCATGTTGTGTTTACTTAGTTTTCTGCCCTTGAACAATTCTTTTTTTCTAATTTTAAGAAAAAGAAATATAAGGACCCTTTTCTTTTGAATAATTTATACAGTATTATGTAAAAAAAAGCTAGTTTTGAATTTTAAAAATCTGATTGTCTTTCTTTTCCTTTTCCTTCTTTCATTCCTTTGTTTCTTCCCTCCCTCCCTCCTTTCTTTCTTCCTTCCCTTCTTTCTTCCTGCCTGCCTGGCTGCCTGCCTTTCTTTTTTTTCCTTTCCTTCCTCCCTCCTTCCCTCCCTCCCTCTTTCCCTCCCTTTTTTTCTTCTTTGTTTTTGAGGCAGGGTCTCCATGTATTTTAGATTGGCCTTGAACTCACTATGTAGCTCAGGCTGGCCTCGAACTCGTGGTTGAGGCTCCTGCCTCAGTCTTCTAGGTGCTGGGATTACAGGGGTGTGCTACCCTGTCCAGCTGATTTTTCTTTTAGTTACAAAATATCAGAGTAGGGAAAAGAAGAAGGAGCATTATCAAAGACCTGTGTGGACATGCTTCCTTTTCTCTTGGGAATTGCTGTAACATATGGTAATTCTAACTTTTTGAGGTAGTGCCCAAATATTTTCTAGTGCTGGTGGCACATGCCTGTAATCACAGCACTTGGGAAGCTGAGGCAGGAGAATCATTGTGAGTTCAAGGCCATCCTGGGCTACAAAGTGAGTTTAAGGTCAGCCTGAACTGCGTAACAAGACCCTGTCTCAAAAAAGACCAAAACAACAAAAAAAGAAAAATCACCAAATATTTTCCAAAGTGGTTATACCATTTTATATTTCCAGCTATGTTATAGAACTTAATTTTGTCTTTGCCAATATTTATGTTGTGATCTTTTTGATTATAGTCATGCTAGTAGGTGTGAAGTAGTATTTCAGTATGGTTTTTATATATGTTTTCTTTATAGCTAATGATACTGAGCACACAAATGCTTAGTAGCCATTTCATTTCTGTATTCTCTCTCTTCCTTCCCCCTTTCCTCTTCCCCTCCCCTCCCCTCCCTTCCCCTCCCTCAAATGCAGTGCCTCGTACATACTAGGCAAGTGCTCTACCACTGAGCTACAGCTCCAGCCTTTTTATTTTGAGGCAAGGTCTCACTAAATTGCCCAGGTTGGCCTTGAACTTATAATCCTTCTCTAGCTGGTATTATAGGAATGAGCCACTGTGTCCAGCTATTTTATTTGGAGGATGGGTTATTCAGGTTCTGTCCATTTTCTTTTTTGGTTTTGGGGATCAAACCAAGGCCTTGCAACATGCTAAGATGCTATAACATTTGAATTTTATTTATGTTTGATTTTTTTCCTTTGTTGGGGATTGACGGGAGGATAATAGTAAAACAGTAATAGCACTGATTTTCTTTTTTCTTACTGATATTTTCTCTTCTTCAAAAATTTCTTTTGTCCTCAAGACTTGATGCAGTTTGATGATAAAGGAAACAAGACCAATACACCAGATAAGGAGCGGCAAATTGAGGCTCTGCAGTTGCTCTTCCTCATTCTCCCTCCACCCAATCGTAACTTGCTGAAGTTGTTACTTGATCTCTTGTACCAGACAGCAAAGAAACAAGACAAGAATAAAATGTCTGCCTATAATCTTGCCCTTATGTTTGCACCCCATGTCCTGTGGCCAAAAAATGTGAGTGTTGAGGGGAAGAAAAAGATTGCTTGGTTTTCCTAGGCTCGGCCTTATACTGTGGCTGTACCTTGGTGAGGTTATTATGGGTCCAAGATCTAGTCTTCAGCTTTATGAGGTTGGGAACTTGCTTTATTAGTTCATTCAAGAGTCATCTAACCTGAGTGGTTAATTCCTGTAACCTTACTTATAAATCAATCTCTGGCAAACCTGCATGGCAACTTACTAGTGGAAACTGTGGAAAATTATAGCTACCAAGAAAACTAGAATATTTGTTTTGGCTGGTCATTATGAATTCCTTAACAGGACAGCCTTCTTTGGAAATCAAATTAATTTTTGAAGATTTAATGGTATAAATTTAGAATTGAAAAAAAAAAATTTAGAATTGAACAGTGTGATCTTAGGAGATAGTGTCACCAAGCTTTATATGAAGTGACAGATGGAGGAATTCTGTCCTAAGCTATTTCCCATAGACACAGTTTTTTTGGTAAAGCTGAATGTGCTTATTAGTGAGATCATGACCTTCTTAGTCACTTACCTAAGAAATAAATTTCCTAAAGTCTTTTAACCTTTTTTTTTTGCCTCATGGTACTAGGTATTGATCTCAAGGCCTTTGCACTGAGCTACATCCTCAGCCCTGTTTTGTTTTGTTTTTAAAAAACAACCTTTTTTATTTTGAGACAGGGTCTAAGTCATTAAATTGCCCAGGCAGGGCTTGAACTTGCAGTCCTACCTCAGCCCCCTAGAGTGCTGGAATACCGGGTTCTGCCACCAGACCTGCTTTAAACAAATAACTCATATTTGACCTGGAGGCACAAAGCTATTTTATTCAAAATAAAGTTTAAATTTTTTATTTTATTAGTATATGTTTGCAGTACATAATGATTACACTCATTGTGGGAAGTCAGTACATGTACATAACACATCATAATCTAGATTTCATCATATGATGGAATTGTGAGGCAGAGTATCTGGGCTGAAAGCTGTAGACCACTTATGTTACCTACATTTTTAGACCTTTTTATCCTTAGGTCCCTCCTCTGTAAACTGGCTATTTTAGTAGCTTTACCACTTACTTCACAAAGCTGTTGGGAAGACAGTAGAAATAGGTCATAGTGACATATAAAAATATTTTTGAGATTATAAGACAGGAGAATAGGAAAGTAAAGGAGAGAGGTTGTGGAACATTTTACCTACAAGTAATTATTAAAAAAAATTTTACCTAACAAGTAATTATTAAAAAAAAAAGAAGAAAGAAAGAAAGTTTTGGGCCAGGAAGAGCCTGTGGTATGGGGGGGGGAGGAGAGGAGATACCAACACTTGTCCACATTAAAGAGATCAAGCTTCAGCATGAAGGGTTTTAGAAGCAGTTAACCAAAGCTATGGAAAAAGAGTAAATAAATTACGGTTATAAAAAAGTATGAGAGGGGTCCTGAGAAAAGCAAATAGATCAAATAACAGAGATTCATGCTGAGGTGAGGGTTTGGGCATAGCAGAAGTGCTGAAGTACTTGAAAAAGAAGACGGGAGAAACAGGAGAAGGGAATCAATAACAATTGGACTGTGTTGTTAAGAAACAGATGTCACCTTTGGTATCAGTTGTGACAGTTCTCCTTTATCTTGGGAGAAACTCCAGTTTCTCTGAAGAGGCAATGTCCTTGATAGCTAGTAAAGACAGCACTTTTCCTTTCAGTTTTGAATGCTAGACTAGCTTTTCTGTAGCAACTTTGCATACATATCTAATTTTCAAGCAGAAGTAGGAAATGAAGCTGGTTCTCATGGATTTCTTGGTTGTTTCAGGGACACATGGTAGGGCTTGTGTCATATCTAGTGGAAACCTACTAACCCCTAAGCCAGTATTTCTGCAATCAGATGTCTAAAGGTACCTTTGTTAGGGGTAGACACAATCATGCATTTGAAAGAATAAGCTTATTGGTCAGTGTTACTCTCAACCCTTAAAGCCCCCTTTTTGGTCTCTTTTCCTTTGAATAGGTTACTGCAAATGACCTTCAGGAAAATATCACAAAGTTAAACAATGGGATGGCTTTTATGATCAAACACTCCCAGAAACTTTTTAAGGTAGGTAAAGGATGGCATTTTGTTAAGGGGATAAGGAAGAGGGAACCGAGTGGAATTCTAGATAAAAAGAAAAAGTGGGCCCCTAGAGGACAATGATCCTGAGGGACTCTAAACCAGAATGGACAGTGGCAGAGCCCTGTCAGGTGGGAGGAACAGAGGCTGAGTAGGTCTCAGTCCCCTGGGTGGTTGGCTCTACTTTTCTGAGTCATCCCCGCCCTTTTCATGAAAGGCAGCATATGCTGGCAGCTTCCCAGTTTTGTTCTGCCTGCTTCCTACCAGTTGAATTTTGAGAGTCTACAGCCCCCTTTCATTTCATATTCTTTGTCCCTTTCAGGCCAAATAGGCAGTGGTTCTGCCAGCATAATTTTCTCCAGAACTTCGTGGGTCTTCTGTGGATTTCAGGGAGGTTCATTCCATTAGACAAAAGTTACCCACATAGATCTTTTGAAGATAAGTCCTGTACCTTGGTCTCCTGCTGAGGAGGCCAAGGGACAATGCCTTTAAGCTTTCTAAAGGTTCAGTGAGATGATCTGGGAGGTGCACTCTTGCCCTCTTACAAGGGCCCTTTGTGTGACTGAAAACTCTGACCTTCTGATGTTTCTAATTTTAGAAAAAGGTTGTACAGTCACATCCTTGGCTTTTTCTTTAGAATATACTTTCTTGAGAGTGAATCTCTTAATTTTAGTATCTTTTCTATTTGCACAGGCTGAGAATTTCCAAGATCATTCAGTTCTGGGTCCTTTTTTTCTTATGGTAACATACATATAAAATTTACCATCTTAACCATTTTAAAGTGTATAGTTTTAAGGCATTATGTACATTCATGTTTAATGCAAACATTACCACTATTTTCATCTTGCAAAATTGAAATTCTGTATCCATTGAAATGCAACTGCCCCTTCTCCCTCCCCTCAACCTCCATTCTACTTGCCATCTCTATGAATTTGACTGCTCTACACACTTCATATAAGTAGAATAACAGTATCTATGGATTATTGTTTTATCTAAAAGAGCATAATGTTTTTAAGATTCATTGTTACATCATGTGTCAGAATTTCTTTCCTTTTTATTTTAATGTTAACTTAAAAAATTATAGTAAAATACAGGTTGATTTTCTTTTATCTTGAAATGCTTGCAACCAGAAATGTTTTGGATTTGGAATGTTTTCAAATATATAATGAGTATGTTCCTGATGGGACCCAAGTCTAAATATGAAATTGATTTATATTTCATAAACACCTTATACACATAGCCTGAAGGTAATTTTATACAATATCTTTAGTGCACTTGAGTTTTTCCTTTTTTTGGTACTGGGTATTGAACTTAGGACCTAACACTTGCCAGGCAGGAGCTGCGCCACTGAGCTAAATCCCTATCCCTGTACCTGAGTTTTGACTGTGATCCAACACATGAAATCAGGGGTGAAATTTTCCTTTGGCATCATATTGGTGCTCAAAAAGTTTCAGATTTTGGATTTTCAGATTAGAGATGCTCACCCTGTAATAAACAAACAAACAAACATAAAAGTGATCGTCTTGATTTTTTTGAGATGGGAGTCTTCCTGTGTTGCCTAGGTTAGTCTTGAACTCATGAACTCAGTGATTCTCCTACCTCAGCCTGCTGAGTTCCTGAGACCACAGTTGTGCACTCCCACACTTGGCTGTCTTAACTTTTTTTTTGGTGACAAAGTTTCATATTTATTAAAGGTAGGAAAAATAGGTTCTGCAGAGCAAGTTTGGGCCAAGTAAAAGTAAGAAAAATGAAATAACAAAACAAAACAAAAGAACCCAAAATACTGTACAGCTTAGGTGAGGCTTTCTTAAAGAGATGTGATAGCCTCTTACCTATTTTTAAATATGGTTCAGTGGTATTAAATACATTGTTAATGTGGGCAACCATCATTACTATCTGTCGTCAGAATTCTCTATTTTGTAAAACTGAAACACAATACTGTGAAATGATAATTCTCCATTTTCTCCTTACCCAGTCCCTAGCAACCACCATTCTACTTTCTGTCTCTATGAATTTAATTACTCTAAGTACTTCATATAAGTGGAATCATATAATATTTGTCTTTTTGTGACTGGCTTATTTCCCTCATATATCTTGAAATTTTATCCACACGATAGCATGTGATAGGATTTTCTTTTTCTTTTTTCTTTTTTTTTTAAGGTTGCTTAGTATTCCGTTTTGTGTATATACCGTATTTTACTTGTCTGTCTGTCTGAGGATAAACACTTGGGTTGCTTCTGTGGTTAAGCTGTTATGAATAACTCCACTACAACCATGGTATAAAATATCTCTTCAGAGCCCTGCCTTGTATTCTTTCAGGTGTGCATCCAGAAGTAGCACTGCTGGATTGCATAGTAATGCTTTTTCTTCTGTGGTTCTAGGGGTTAAACCCAGGGCCTTCTACATGCTAGGCAAATGCTCTGCCACTGAGCCCACCCCATTTTTGCTTTTATACAAGAATCCATTAGTGTTTGAACGTCTCCTTTCTAGCATAGAATGTCGCCAGCTCACTTTGTACTTTCTCTGCCCTGGATGTAGAATCATTATTATCAAGGAGCCTTAGTTTCTTTGAATGGCAATAGGATATTAATGTTTCTGAGCTATCATTGTTCTTCTAGGTTCTTTGAGGACAAGGCAATATATTTTAAATTTTTAAAAAAGAAATTATAAGTTCATTTTAATAATATGAATTCAGATTTGACACTTTAAAGGGTTTTTTTTTTTTTTGGCTTTGTTTTGGAGGCACAGTTTTACTTTGTAGTACAGTGCAGGCTAGCCTTAAATTCACTGTGTAACCCTTGTGGTTTCTTTTCCTTTGGAGATAGCCCTTGAGGATATATCATCAGAATACAATTTTTCTAAAAGTTATGTGAAATAATTCATTTCTCTGCACTCATTTTATCAATGTAATATACAGATAGTTCATTTTTCCTGTTTTTGTTCACACTTTTTCCCTGTAGATTTAATTTTAACTTTCTATAACTTTTTTTAGGGTCCCAGGAACCTAACTCAGGACCTTGTGCTTGCCAGGCAGGTGCTGTGCCACTGAATTATATCCCTGGGCCCTTAATTTTAACTTTTTAAACCTGTAGCGTATCCACATGACTCAGAAGTCAAAACTACATAAAGCGGTGTACTTAGAGAAACTGTAGTCCTTTCCCTAACCAATTTCCATATTATTTTCTGGTTTATCTTCTTAGTGTTTCTTTTTGTAAAAACAAGTATATGGTGTGTGTGTGTATGTGTGAGTGTGTATTCTTATTTTTTTTTTTTTTCTCCAATACCAGGAACCGAACTCACGACCTTGCGCTTGCCAGGCAGGCGCTTTGCCACTGAGCTAAATCCCCAGCCCTGTGTGTATTCTTATTTCCTCTTCTTTCTTACAGTTACTTTATATACTGTTTTGTATTTTACTTTTCTCACTCAGTACCTTCTAGAAATTCCTCCATATAACTTCTCAAGGCCTACGTGCTTGCCTCCCTCCCTGCCTTCCTCTTTTCCTACTTCCTTTTTTTCTCTCTCTTCCTCTTTTTTTTTGTTTTTTGTTTTTTTCAAGTACTGGGAATCGAACTCAAGACCTCGTGCTTGCCAGGCAGTCACTATGCCACTGAGCTAAATCCCCAGATCCCTTCTCTTTTGTCTTTGTTTCTTTCTGTCTGCCTTTCTGTCTTTTCTCTTTCTTGCTCTCTGTATTTCTTCTTTTTCGGCCTCTCTCTTAATGACTGCACAGTACAGTGTTGTATGGATGTTTGAAAGTTCACCAACCAGTTTCCTGTTAATGAATATTTAGGTTGTATCTTTTGATTAACTGTAGGCAGGTGTGTTTTGTATTTCTGGAGTTATATCTTTAGGATAGATTGCCAGAAGTGAGATTTCTGGATCAATGGGTAAAGGTAAATGTAATTTTATTAGATATTGCCACATTGTTCTCTATTATTTTATACTTAGTAAAAGAGTGGATGTATTATTTTATATTTCTACTAAGACTTGTCATGGGCTTCTATCCCACAGTAATCCTAAATGGTATTTTCTATATAATGATTGTAAACTGTGATCTGCAGACAGCTTGGAATTTGTAAGGATTTTGGAGATATTTTTGGTCAAATATAAACATTACTAAAACACCTATATTTTATTTTATTTTTTTTTACACCTATATTTTAGTATCTGGCTCACTTGAGTATATATATGCCATTTTTGATTTTTAAAAAAATAGCAGCCACTATATTGGTGTCTTCACAGTTTTTCCATCAGACATGTTAAGGTATCTATTTGTGGGTAAGAAAAAAGAGCTATAGAATAGGGCATTTTGGGTACTGTCTGGCCTTCTGAAGTAATCTACCAGTCAGATATATTGAGACCATTGTTTATTTTTGTGACCCAAAAGAATTTTAGGTACTGCTAACCACAAGGTCCTGGTTTTCTTTTATGTCCTGCTCAGGCTCCTGCTTATATTCGGGAATGTGCCAGGTTGCACTATTTGGGCTCAAGAACTCAATTGTCAAAGGTAAGAATATAAAACTTTCTTTTTCTTTCTTTGTTTCTGTCTGTCTTTTTCTTCCTCCCTTCCTCCCTTCCTCCTTTCCTTTCCCTTCCTTCCTTCCTTCCTTCCTTCCTTCCTTCCTTCCTTCCTTCCTTCCTTCCTTCCAATTTATTTGCCCCATGATGTTGGTGTTCAGAAGGTACAAACAGTATGGTACCAGCATCCTTAGCTACATGAGAACATAACAGAGAAATAAAAAAGGGAAACTGAGACCATGGGGTGGGCTCACTTTATAACAACTCATTCTTGAGAGAATTACCTCACTGCCAAAAGACCCAGCCCATTCTGGCAGATCACATTAATGTATTCCTGGGGATGGAGCCACCATGGTCTAATTACTGTGCACTAGACCCACCTCTTAACGGTGTTACTGCTTCAACACCATAGCACCGAGGACCAAGTTTCTAGGATATGAATCTTTGGGAGCCAAACTATATTCAAACGATAGCAGATACCAAAACAATTTAACAGGTGTAACTAAGGGTGACTAGGAAACTATTCTTCATCCAAACAAGGAAAGTTAAGATTAGAATTTAAAAAAAAGAACAAAAATGAAAAACACAAAATCAGGTCAAACCATGGAAAATAGAAAATAAAAAATACATTTGTATATAGCAAGTATATTAAATACTTTATAATAATAAAAGTACAGTTTTATGCAATTCATTCTTATTCAAGTTCAGTGGCATGGCAAAACTATCAAATGTCTAAAAGACTATTTCTCCCTGTTTCAATATGTTCATGACTAGGCTGTAATTTGCTTGTCTCACTGCCAGGCAGCTCTGAACCACTGGTAGTACATACATGACTGTGCCATTGGGTGGTTTGTGCCACCTGAGGGGACTGTCCCATGCTGGCCATTGGGATAGTCATGTGTGTACTGCTGGTGGTTCAGGCCAGCAGGAGCGTATTAAGGAAATATTTGGTATGTCCAGGAAAACACTATTTGATCTCAGTTAGTTAACTGGAATGCGGCTTTTCTTAAAGAGTCTTTGTTTTTATTCCTTTACCACTACCAAATAGTTGTCACATTAAATTGTGTATATGGGAAAGGACAGTGGCCAAGAAGCAATACACTTGTGTTCCAGGGTGTGCCTGTCACTTCAGTGTCTAGGTGACTTTGTAGCTTAACTTCAGTATTTCAGTGGGAATGATGATACATTTCCTGCTTACCTTGTAAGATAGCAGTGATGATTACATGAGATTAAGTGATGTTTAAAAGATGTTTTGAAAACTGAACTCTTCTACAAATATAATTCTTGGTAGGAATATTCTAGATGCATTTAGGTTCCCGGGGAAGGTCATGGGAGTGGACTATTAACCTTTACTAAGAGGTTCCTCTTCATCTCATGACTATAAGATCTTTCTTATTCTTGGGTGTAGGAGTATAGCATGTTCCCATGCCTCTTTTTTTTCCCCAAATTTTTGTGGGAACTCAAAAACAAAGCCAAGAAAGTAAATTAATTCATATTTCTTTTAAATTTTCTTTAGGATGACCTTGATCTGACAGCTTCATGTCATGCTAAGTCCATCCAGCTGGGAAAATCTCAGAAATGGAACCAAGCAGATTCCTACTCTCAGCAGGAGGAGATCCAGCAGCGTACAGAAGAGGCGCTAAGGGAGCTCGTCCAGCATGTTCATAATATGCCGGAGTCAGCAAAGAAGAAGCAACTTATTAGACAGGTGCCTGAAGGCAGGAAAATAGTGATGGCACTTTAGAGGTCTTTGTAGAATCACTAGACAATGTTGTTAAGGATCTCATTTAGTTTTTGGCTCTCACTGGGACAAGTTTTGGCTCAGCCAAGAAAGCAAGCTTGTCTCTGGAATCTCAGTATACTACAGGCCCCTGGAGAAAGCGGTGGAAGCTCTTGGATTTCTCCAGTTAAACAGGAGGTTCCAGGTGTGGTTAAGGTATCTCTAATTTTGGTCACACAGTACAAATTTGCTTAAAGAAAACCAGGAGTTCCAATATATTGTTTTGAACTTGAAACACTAACTTTTCCTGGCAAATGACTTTCTGAATCTCAATTTTCTTATTTAGAGATATAGTACATAGAGTAGCTGGCAAGTTGTAACTCTTACTAATGAGTTATTTACAGTTGTAAAGGACTGTAAAATCAAGGTCCTAGTCTGATACTATAAAGTAGGAAGGAATTCTTCTGGGTAAGTTTATTTATTTTAGAATTATGGGAGCAAAGTTAGGACTTTCATTTGCTGGGTTGAGAAATCAAAGCATAGTTTGAGTAAATCCTGATGCTGTGGGTAGTTCTTTCTCAGGAATTTTATTTTGTCTCAGTCTCTTGATATTTAGCTGAATAGGCAGGGCTAATATATAATTCAGGTTTCCATTGCTATAGCAAATACCTGAGCTAATGAATTTCAGTGAAAAGTTTGTTTTGGATTGCCGTTTTGGAGATTTTAGTCCATGACTGAGTGGCTCTGTTGCCTTTTGACCTGTGGTAAGGCAGCATATGGTGGCAGGGAGGATGTGGCAAAACTTTTTACTTCATAGCAGGGAGTGAAAGAGGAAGAGACCAGGACCCTACAGTCCCCTTTGAGGACACATCCTTAGTGAGCTAACCCTTCTGGCGGCATCACTTCGTCAAGGTTCTGCCACCTCCTGTAGCACCAAAAACTGGGGCTGAAGCCTTGGATACACGGACTTTCAGGAGGAGGGGGCACTTAGTGTATGTGCTGCCGAAGTGAGCACAGAAGGGGCATTTTAAGTTAGACTACACCAGTCAGCCTCTTCTTATTCAGCTTAGGACCTTCTTAAGGGAAGAGTCTGTTTTCATTTATTTTATACCTAATATCAAGCATAGGGTCAGGCGTAAATGAATTAAGCTTTTTTATTGTAGAGCTAAGTTATTCTAAGCAATTAATACATTTTTTTGTTACTCTTTTTTTGGAGTTTAAGATCTAACAAGTTATTCTGTGACTGGAATTTTACAGGGTGTTGGCTGAGTTTTGTAGACTCAAAGCAAGGTAGTGATTTAATTCTGTATCTATAGACTTCATGTAGGACAGGTATAATGACTTCTCTCAACAAGAATACTGAGGATTAAAGATACAGTAATACAAAAGGAAAAACATTTTTGCTTTTTTTTTTGAAAGACTGGAAATTACAGACAAGGATAAAAAAATAATCACTCATTCCAGCAATGTTTGTTTGTTTTGGTTTTTTGAAACAGGGTTTCACTATGTAGTTCATGCTGATCTTGAACTCACTGTGGAGCCCAGGCTGACTTTGAACTCATGGTGATCCTCCTTCCTCAGTGAGTGTTGAGATTACAGGTGTGCCCTACCACACCTGGCACCAGTGTTCATATTTTTGGCATTTCTTTTAGCCTTTTTCTTATGAATATGTTTTTATACATACACATCTATGTAGATAGATAGATAGATAGATAGATAGATAGATAGGTAGATAGGTAGATAGGTAGATAGAGATAGAGATAGAGAGAGACTGAGACTGACCAGCAGCTGAATCCAGGAGCTATGCACTGAGCTACATCCCCTGCCTTTTTTATTCTTTATTCTGAGACAGGGTCTTGATAAGTCACCAAGTTGCCTGGATTGGAATTTGTGTTCCTTTTTCCTCAGCTTCCCAGAGTGCTGGGATTACAGACATGTGCCACCATGCTTGGCAATATCATAATACTTTTTAAACCTCTCCTTTTTTCACTAAACTTTATAGCATAAGCATGTTTTCATGCATGCTTATAAACTCATGGTATACACTTTAAACATTGACTTATTTTTTGAAGAAACTATAAAAGTAATATATGCTCACTCTAGGAATATTAGACTTCTTGAAGAGTGTAAAGGAAAAAATAAAACCATGTATAATCATTCAGAAATAACCACTGATAACATTTTGTAGTATTTCCTTCTAGTGTTTTTCTTTATGAATGTATATTTCTCTTAAGAAATATACATTCATAATGTATTTTACCCTTTTCATTTAACTTTATTTCACATTTTCCATATCACTGAAAGATTATAAACATTTTTAATGTTTGCATAATGTTCCATTCTATATGACTTAATTTATATACAGTTTGCCTACTATTTGATATATTGAAGGAATTAGTTGTTTTAGCTTATAAATTTTTGTTCATAAATTGCAGATTATTTTCTAGAAGTACATGGCCAAAGGATATACATTATTTTTTGTCAAGATGTCTTTTAGGTCACTTTTAATATACAGAACATTCTTTTTCTCTCCTTTCTCTTTTTCTCCCCCCCGCCAAAATTTCCAGTTAGTTTATTTATATGAAGTGCTTTGTTTTGTTTTATTTTTTTGAGACAGAGTCTGACTGTATAGAGTTCAGGGTGGCCTTGAACTCACTAGGTAGCCCAAGCTAGCCTCAAACTTGTAGCAGTCCTCCTGCCTTGGCCTTCCAAGTTCAGGGAGTACAAGTGTGAGTCACCACACTAGACCTGTTTGAGGGAACTTTTAAATTTAAAATAATTTTAGATTTAGAGAAAAGTTGCAAGGATAGTACAGAGTTCCCATATACCTTTTACCCATCAACTGGTGCTTCTTTTTTTTTTTTTTTTTTTTT